GTTGTTTTGAGCTTAGCAGACAGGCGAACGCAACCAATCACCATGTCTACTGCGGTAAGTGACTATTTTGTTCCAATTTTCGAGTTTGAAATTTAGCATGTTTTCATACATTATTTTTTATGCATGTGTCTAAATAACAAAGATTGTAGTTAGCCAAGTTGGAGTTTCCCATGCATTTATCCGACTGTTGCTGTTTTCTCGCTGATTCCGCCATTATAACTGCACAAATATCGACACTGCGCTAGCAACCAGCATGCCTTTCACTGGGGGCGTGTAGCAGTTCTCGCCGTAAAGCAAGACCGACTCTCGCGATGCACGAGACTTCTGAGCCTGTGGGTGCGGGCCGAGGGCTCCTGCAATTGCAAGTACGGTATTTCCCCTACAGACCACCAGGGCGGCCGAGAAAACCTTTGTCCGACCTGAAATGACTCATTTAATCATCCAAAACGTTATGGAACACATTAATTAACTGAAAAATGTTGCATAGTATGCCTTTAATACCCAACACAGGTCACTATTCTGCTTATTGGTACGCAGAAGTGGCAAGAAATACAACAACAATGGCGGACGATAATGAAGAGGGCAGTGTTTATGTTTAACCATCTTGAAACGATTGTGTTTTTAATGTTGGGAAGATCGCTAGTTGCACTCCAGCAAAACCATCCAGAGCACGCTGGCCTGTGACATCATCGCGTCCTCTACTGCGCATGCGGGACACTTACATCATATAAATGCAGTTCACACAGCTGATCACATACAAGTCGCATATATTTGGAAACGTGAACGGCAACGCAAAAAAAAATCGTATTTCACATCAAAATGTGAATTGAGCCTGAAGGCCTGCAGTGTGAACGTAGCCTATGAGAGTGAAGGTGGGGTGGCTCACAGGTCAGCCTCTCTTTGAGCTCCGGGGTGGGCGCCATGTCCACGGCGCTCTTGCTGTGGCAGTTCAGCAGGGTGGGGTCGGCTCCGTGGCTCAGCAGCAGTGAACACACCTCCACCCTGTTTTTGGAGGCGGCCTCGTGGAGGGGGGTGAACTGCCAGAGGTCCATGGCGTTCACGCAGGCTCCGTGCTGCGAAGACAGGAGCCGATCAGATTCACGCTAAAAACCAGACGGGAAGGGATGGAGAAGCTTTTCCTGAACCTTTACCTTCAGCAGCAGCTCCGTGACCTCGTAGTGCCCATAGGAGCAGGCGTTGTGGAGAGGAACCAGGCCGCTGCAGGGAGACACATCTGGGTCAAACACGACGTCAGGGAAGCGAGGATTTGCTCCTCTCCTTCTCCTCAAACAGATACTCACCCCTTGTCCTTGGCGTGGACGTCGGCGCCGTGCTGGAGCAGGAGCTGGACGATGCGGACCCGGTTGTAGCCTGCAGCCAGGTGGAGGGGCGTGGACTGTAAGAGAGGAGTGCTGGTTAGCCGCCGTTCACACCCACAGACACGCAGAGGGCGGGGCGAGCGTCGGCGCCTCCGAGGGCGGCAGGGCGAGCTGCTGGTTAGAGCCGAAGCTAACTGCTGCTGCAGGCTGTGCTGGGTGAGTGGCAGATGGATGGGTGAGGGGGTGAGGAGTCCTCACCCAGAACTGAAACCTGAACATCTTCTAACAGTCTGAGGTTTGATGCCGTGTTTCTGGAGCGCCGGGTCGGAGAAAGTCTCCCAAATTCCACGTCTGAAATGATGCTGTTTTGGTGCTGGATCCCCTCCCACTGCTTTAAGATGTCCCACCTTTACCCAGAATTCCTTGCACTGTAGACTGCGCTCTCAGTAGATCCAGTCTCTATTTTTAAATCGTTCTTTTCATCCCATGAATACGGTCTGAATCCCGCTCTGCCTGTCCTGCAGCGAAGCCCTCAGCATCCTGCATCAGAACCGGGCCTAGAACTCCTCTTTGGACTTCCTGCGGCGCTAGACGACAACCGGAGCACAGAAATAACAGCTAACCTGTTAACTAACCGTTCCACAGAAGGTGCCATGAGGACATGGGGACGACCAGAAGGGCTGACCTCAAGGAACAGGTCAGATCATCACACCAGAGCAGAATATTTACGCTACGCTGAGCCTGAAGCTCTAGTTTCAGACACTGTTTGTCAGGAAGAAACAGGAAAACCTCTGAATCAAAACTAAACCTGAAGGTTTTGATCTCTGTGAGCGTAGCAGCAGGTAGCTGTGACGAGCTAATAAGCTAACAAACTGAAACATGTGATTTCTAATCCAGACAAAGAGGATATACTGGCGGGAATTTAAAGGAGAAGTCCGCTCATATTCAGAGTTCCAACTTTTTAAAGTTCTTTAAAT